GTTTTGTATGTTTTTATATTTGTTTTACATTTTTTAATATAATATGTGATGACGAGCAGAAGACTTTCCCTTGTGGAACAATAAAGTTATCTTATCTTATCTTATCTTTTCATCATATATCTTGTTTATTACTTTGGGTAAATATCGGCTCTCTGATATAAGCAACTTAAGCTTCCCGCATCGTTGTATTCAATGAAATTAATGTGTTTCAAATTTAAAGTTGGTTTTAACAATCTATAGTGTAAGCCCAATACATTGGTATTTCTGATGAGAGAAATTTGTGTTGCTTTATTATCCAGCCTCAAATAAAAAAAAGTGCTTATAATAAATTTCTTAATAAAATAACTTCGCTCATATTTTTTAACAATTAGAAAGAAAGTTTGGTTTCTTTATCTTGGGAAACATGCTTCCAATAAAAATTAAACATTTGTTTTTACTTTATCAATAATATTGAGGGTTAACATGGTTACTTTTGAATTTTCTGTAGGCCTATTATAGATTGAAGAATTGTTGTATTGCAACATCGGGTTAATTCTTCTGTAGTAGAGATTTTAACTACTGGTAAAATAACATCAGCAAGTTGGAATATCAGGATAGTAGATAGGTCTACAGTGTTTTTGGCTAAGTTCAAAGAAAACCATTAACGTTGATTTTGGTGGATTCTTGTCTTATTGGTCGGTTTTTAGAAAATCACTTAGGTTGAATCGGTGTCAAACAATCCCTCCCTGCTGTAAAGATCGTTGTTGTAACTTAAACAACTGTGAACAGCATGAAAAGAAAGGAGAAATAAAAATAAAGTTGAATAAAATCAAGTCGCTTAGTCACTTATACTATATAGTGTTGCTTTAATAACAATAATTAAAAACAGTTGAAAAAGAATAATTGAAAAGCATTGTTAAAGCGATGAATGATGTTGAGACTATGGACCATGGTATGGATAATCGCAACAACCAAGAAATCAATATAAATGTTAAACATTAAACAACTTTATTGCAACTATAGTTATTAGGCAGTTTTCGCCGCACGACGTTAACCTGAAGGCCCAATAAAAAAAATTATTAGTTTATCACCCCCGCGCATGTCTTCTATGGTACTGGGAAAAAAAAAATTTTAGGAAATTTTTTTTTTTTTTCATTTATATTATTAAATAGTTAACAGATATTGTTTGTATTATTTAAATCATGTTTTACTTTGAATATCAATGCACCAGCAAACAACCCAAAGGTGATATTTGGCTTTAGCAAAATAAAAAATTTAAAAAAAAGCCTCCTTCCCTCATCACTTTTCCTGCCCAGATAGGGTGATAAACTAATAATATTTTTTATAGGGCCTAATGTTAACGGATGTCTTGTGTTGTGGAGTACATTAATTTCAGGATTTTAAGTGCTCAACGTACGTTAGTGGATTTGCCTATGTATATTTCGATTTGTTTACAAAAGTGGCGGAACTATCGTGCTGCATGTTGGGTACTAACATTAAAGTTAAGGTCAATGTCGTGTGGCAACTACCTACTAACTCAATCAATGGGGAAGGTAACCCTTTCAGCTGGACGTATGAATGCAGGCCAAACCCTGTGTGGGTTATAAACAGTGACAGTGTATAAACAGGGCCTAGGCTAGGCACCTGCGTAGCCTAGGCCTACTGTAGGTACAGGTTTTTAAAAGGGCCTAATGTTGGATTGACAGTCACTGAAAATAATGTGTAGGCAAGGGAACTATATTTGGTGTTTAATGAAGCAATTAACATGTTTACCTGGGTGGGCTAGAATAAGATGCCTGCGATATGATCGTGGCAATGGTCGTTATCGGCTATCCATGGCCAGTGTGGTGTTGTGTCACTTGTTTGTGGTGTTGTGTGGTGTTACAAACCGAAGCCTAACCTAGGCGAGGGCCTAAGCTAGGCCTAGGCCAGGTAGGTTAGGCCTAGTTGACAGGTAAACTATAGGCTATAGCTTGTACTTTTGGAATATGGATCAAGTCCCTGAGTATTAAGTATTAATGATGTAATACTTTACTCGCATTTCAATGAAAATCATGTTATCTTGTTTTTGTTTTCCATCGATTGTCGGCAGTTTCCCTGTCGAGAAAGATTCACATGTTTTTTTGTTGACCCACACCCACACATGACAGCAGACCTGGATCGACACGATATGTGACGGTCCAGTATATTACTACGCGTGCGATATAATTGACTGGATTGTATTGCGGAGATAATTGT